ACTGGCCATGAGCAGGATATTTACAGACATATTCAGGTAGATTCTGTGTGCTCTACCAGATTCTGGCAGGTGTCCAGCTTCACCCTCTGTTAATTATAAAAAGTCAATTGGTTAAAATAGAAAAAGCCAATTTTATATTTTGGAATCCATTATTTAGTGACTGATTTTTTTTTCTCCAAACTGCTCCCCATAAGAGAAGAGAAACTTGCTTTAACCACAATTCTCTAGGTTTCACTCCTCACTTTGTAAATCCACTCCCACTGCCAATTAGTCTCCCACTGTTCTCTCATTTCCCCGACACGCTGCTCCATAAGGAAACACACACCCGTGTGCTAACAGAGACTTAGTCATATTTTGTTACTGGCTGAAACGTCTTGCCACAGTGACTTGGTGATTATAGGGCCTGCTAAAACAACATCTACAGTGCCTATTAAAAGTATTCGCCCCCTTGAATGTTTTACCCTTTCATTGATTTTATAAATCATTGTTCTTTGCAAAACTTATCAAGCTCTGCCAGGTTGCATGGGGATCAGGCGTGAACAGCCCTTTTCAAGTCCAGCCACAAATTCTCTATGGGATTGAGGTCTGGGCTTTGACTTAGCCACTCCAGAACACTCACCTTGTTGTCTTTAAACCATTTCTGTGTAGCTTTCACTGTATGCTTTGGGTCATTGTCTTTCTGGAAAATAAATCTTCTCCAAAACCTTAGTTCTCTTGCAGACTAAAGATTGTCCTCTAGGATTTTCCTATATTTTGCCACATTGATTTTACCCTCTGCCTTTACAAGCTTTCTAGGACTGGCTTGCCGAGAAGCATCCCCACAGCATGATGCCACCGCTGTGCTTCAAAGTGGGGATGGTGTGTTTGTGGTGATGGGCAATGTTTGTGTCCACTAAACATAGTGTCTTGTCTGATGGCCAGAAAGCACCATTTTGGTCTCATCAGACCAAAGAACTTTCTTCCATTTAACCATGGAGTCTCCCACTTGCCTTTTGACGAAGTCTAGTGAAGATTTAATAGGAGTTTTCTTCAGCAGTGACTTTCTCTTTGCCACTCTCCCATAAAGCTTTGACTGGTGAACAACCTGGGTAACAGTTGTGTGCAGAGTCTGTCCCATCTCAGCTGCTGAAGCTTGTAACTCTTTCATAGTCATAGGTGTCTTGGTGGCCTCTCTCGCTAGTCTCCTTGCAGGGTCACTCAGTTTGTGAGGATGGCCTGATCTAGGCAAATTCAAATATGTGCCATATTCCCTCTATTTCTTGATGATGGATTTAACTGGGGATGTTCAGTGCCTTTACTGAATTTTTTTTTTGTATCCATCCCCTGACTTATACTTTTCAATAACCTTTTCTCTGAGTTGCTTGGAGTGCTCTTTTGTCTTCATGGTGTAATGGGAGCCAGGCGTGGTGTAATGGGAGCCAGGCACAACATCTTCCTAACTTCTCTTTTAAACTGCCTAAATTCAAAGCTATCCCTCCCTGTCTTCTGTTATCTACAGGCTAGCAGTCACATTGCTAGCAGGAGTAAACATATAGAGTGTGGATAGACCTATATCAAAATTTAAGTAGAATTTCAGGCCAGAAACCCCATGAAAGTGCCACACCTAATGAATTACTTTCCATGTAGGAAACGGCATCAGGCAAAAGAACCTGCAGAGCAGGTGCATCTTCATTGTTTCAGGCAAGGCTCTATGTAGCAAATTTCTGAGAGAGATTGTTTATTGGTAGGCTTACAGCACAAAAGGATCAGCACTGCGTGAGTGATAGGTACAGTAAATGAGGCTCTTTAGTCGCCATGGTGAATTATTAAACACATACAGTTCAAAGGCGCCTACAGTAGACTAAGTACTGTAACCATCAGTTATAAAACAAATCTGCAAGCGTCTTCTTTTGCTGATGCACTCCTGGCGTCTCTGTGACTGGTGGATACATGGAGTACACCACAGCAGCTTGACGATCATAAACCTCCACACACTCATAGACACACACTTCATCTTCTCATTGGCTGCGAGGTAGCTTTGCAGTAGGTGGAGTGTGCGCCCTGGTGCGTTGTAGTGGTTAGAGCTCTCCAAGGACAGAATCCCGGTGTACTGTGCTGCTGCTCAACGCGGACAGATCTGCTGAAGGGATGGCAAACTCTGACAGAGCCACCATCGCAATTGCGTACGTCTACAGGGGAACGTTTATTCACTCGACTGAGGAAACGGCAGTGGAGATCTTGGCAGATGCGGTCCTTGGTGTTGACACAAAGGGAAAGGTTTGTCAGCCTATACAATATGTAATCAGGCTTTGGTCTGACGTGTTTAAAAAGCTTCATGGCTTAATTTCTTAACCGTACGTTAAAAGGCCAAATCTGGAAAATAGAAATGAATGAAAGACGTTTGTATTCTCCAAACGCCAGTCTGTTACATAACTGTTTCCTACAGTGAGCTGTTGCTGAGCAACTTTCACAATTAGCTCCACACTAAACTCTCAAACATAAAACTCGGAGTAGCCCCTTCAAATAAAACAAGTGGCTTTAAATTTCCTAGAAATCGTAAGCCCGTCAATAAAAATAGACTCTCCCATGCTCTGTATTAAAATTCAAGACAAAGGGCATGTGGACACTGTGAACATCATAGGCTGATTTTTAATGAGGTTGATAAGTAATCCTTTATATATTTGTCATAGTAGAGAAGTAGTTTATTATTGCTAGGATGGTTTCAGCTCTTATAGCTTACTCTACAGTTCATGCAAACAATTTTTGCAATCATGTTTTTTTCCTGTAGCTCATAGCTGATATTCATTCTACCACCAGATTGCTTTCATGGGGAAAGGCAAAGACCTAGATGAACTGTCTCAGACCTTTAGATTCAGTTCATCCAAAGTCACTCAACTTACACAACAGTAAGTAGAATATGAATTACTGGAAATATAGTTTTGCAGTAATATTTTGTAGAGCTTGCTATGAAATGACTTTATTAAGTCTAAGAGCAAAATTACATTTGGTTTTTATGTCTGACAGATATGAGGACAATGTTTTCTTTGTGTTTTTTTCCATCAGTTCTTTCCATTTTCTATTTGTTACACCACTGTAATGTAAAATATGGCCATTTGTTTTATAAGCCATAAAACAATGTATATAAACCTATATCCTGGCTTGCTGCACTGCAGTGAATTTTTCATGCCAGGAATGGTGGACACCCACATTCATGCACCTCAGTACAGCTACGCTGGTACAGCCCTGAATGTGCCCTTACTGCAGTGGCTCAAAACCTATGCCTTTCCTGTTGAGTCCCAGTTCAGTGACCTGGAGTTTGCCCACAGGATCTACACTAAAGTGGTGGTGAGTTTGCCAGCCAAGACTGAGCCCTGTGACAAAATGCAAGTATAATAGGTTTGAAATAACAATAGTTGCACATTACAATCTGTATTTGGACCAATCAAAAAAGTGGAAAATTCCTGTGATAGCTATTTGAGAAGAGTGTGAACAATTCAGCATAGGATGGATAGAAAATATTCAGTTTATACAGAAAATAGAAAATATGATTTGAATACAGGCTTAATCACAAAATATGATCCCCATGCTTGACAGAAACGGACTCTGAGAAATGGAACAACCACTGCATGTTACTTTGCTACCATACATACAGATTCCTCTCTCCTGTTGGGCCAGATTGCAAGTAAGATGTCCTAAAACACACACTCACTCTGTCACACACAGCTTTACTTAGAATATAAATTTTAAGCAATGGCCCTTTTAGTGGTTTCTTTCAGTACTGTAGTGTGTGAACTGGGAAGTTAGAAATGGATGTGTCTCGTGTGGTGAGACAACTTCAGTGCCAGTATTAGAAGAGTCTTGGTCTTGGTATAAACCATAAAACTATAACATATTCTGCTAGTTTGATCAGCTCACACCAGTAGTGTGGTTGTGAGGCTGCCAGTTCATTCATAAATACAGTATGTATTTATAGCTGGTAAAATCAGGGAGGTGGAGGTACAGTAAATGAAGGCTCTGCCCCAGTGATAAGTGTGGAGATTGTTGCTAAAGAGTGAATAAAAGTTTGTTAACACGGCCACATTTCATTCACAGTGATGGGCTGCATAAAGAGATGTTAATTCAGTAAAGAGTGATTGGTCCTGTTTCCCTTAATAGTTTCCACTGGGTCAGAAACAAACTAATTTTGTTCACCTTTATATGTTGTCCTTATCATCTTTGTGTCATGCCATGTTATGTAAATACTGAACACATGCAGAAGTACACACACACGCACACACTTGTGCCTTTGCAGGAACACACAACATCCTAACATAAAAGATCAGTCTATACTCCTAGTTATGTGACCCAGTCAAAATGTCCACATAAAAAAGTATTCAGTGCCAGAGCATAAAACTCATAGTGGCACTCACAAGGATAGCCATGCATTCACATTAATGTGTACAACCATACTGACCCAAACAGTGGCCTTGGCAGCTTTGCGCAGGCATTTTGTGTGATCAAGGTCAATGAACTCTCACCTTTGTCCTGTTCTGAGCAGCTATAAAACTGTTGTTATTCACTGTGCCTGTATGTGTGTGTGTTTGTGCATAAAAAACTGAATAATTGGGCGTGCAAAATTATTCAGCCCCTTTACTTTCAGTGCAGCAAACTCTCTCCAGAAGTTCAGTGAGGATCTCTGAATGATCCAATGTTGACCTAAATGACTAATGATGATAAATAGAATCCACCTGTGTGTAATCAAGTCTCCGTATAAATGCACCTGCACTGTGATAGTCTCAGAGGTCTGTTTAAAGCGCAGAGAGCATCATGAAGAACAAGGAACACACCAGGCAGGTCCGAGATACTGTTGTGGAGAAGTTTAAAGCCGGATTTGGATACAAAAAGATTTCCCAAGCTTTAAACATCCCAAGGAGCACTGTGCAAGCGATAATATTGAAATGGAAGGAGTATCAGACCACTGCAAATCTACCAAGACCTGGCCGTCCCTCTAAACTTTCAGCTCATACAAGGAGAAGACTGATCAGAGATGCAGCCAAGAGGCCCATGATCACTCTGGATGAACTGCAGAGATCTACAGCTGAGGTGGGAGACTCTGTCCATAGGACAACAATCAGTCGTATACTGCACAAATCTGGCCTTTATGGAAGAGTGGCAAGAAGAAAGCCATTTCTTAAAGATATCCATAAAAAGTGTCGTTTAAAGTTTGCCACAAGCCACCTGGGAGACACACCAAACATGTGGAAGAAGGTGCTCTGGTCAGATGAAACCAAAATCGAACTTTTTGGCAACAATGCAAAACGTTATGTTTGGCGTAAAAGCAACACAGCTCATCACCCTGAACACACCATCCCCATTGTCAAACATGGTGGTGGCAGCATCATGTTTTGGGCCTGCTTTTCTTCAGCAGGGACAGGGAAGATGGTTAAAATTGATGGGAAGATGGATGGAGCCAAATACAGGACCATTCTGGAAGGAAACCTGATGGAGTCTGCAAAAGACCTGAGACTGGGATGGAGATTTGTCTTCCAACAAGACAATGATCCAAAACATAAAGCAAAATCTACAATGGAATGGTTCACAAATAAACATATCTAGGTGTTAGAATGGCCAAGTCAAAGTCCAGACCTGAATCCAATCGAGAATCTGTGGAAAGAACTGACAACTGCTGTTCACAAACGCTCTCCATCCAACCTCACTGAGCTCGAGCTGTTTTGCAAGGAGGCATGGGCAAAAATTTCAGTCTCTCGATGTGCAAAACTGATAGAGACATACCCCAAGTGACTTACAGCTGTAATCGCAGCAAAAGGTGGCGCTACAACGTATTAACTTAAGGGGGTTGAATAATTTTGCACGCCCAATTTTTCAGTTTTTTTATTTGTTAAAAAAGTTTGAAATATCCAATAAATTTCGTTCCACTTCATGATTGTGTCCCACTTGTTGTTGATTCTTCACAAAAAATTACAGTTTTATATCTTTATGTTTGAAGCCTGAAATGTGGCAAAAGGTCGCAAAGTTCAAGGGGGCCGAATACTTTCGCAAGGCACTGTATATATACATTAGGTTCCGGGTTTGGGCCCCACCTGGGACCTTTCTGTGTGGAGTTTGCATGTTCTTCCCGTGCTTGCGTGGGTTCTCTCCGGGTGCTCCGGCTTCCTCCCACTGACCAAAGTCATGCAGCTTAGGTTGATTGGTGTCTCTAAATTGCCCATAGGAGTGCATGCGTGTCTGTGTGGTTGTTCGTCTATGTGTTAGCCCTGCGATGGATTGGCGACCTGTCCAGGGTGTACCCCGCCTTCGCCCGATTGCCAGCCGGGATTGGCTCCGGCCCCACCCGTGACCCCGTTCAGGGACTAAGCGGTAGAAAATGAATGAATGAATGAATGAATATATATACATACCTACTGTATGTATATATAAAGAGAGAGAGAGATATAACAGGAAGTCATAACAGGAAAAGTACAAGTGAATTTCTTGATGTTTTCTTTTCCTGATATGACAAGCCAGGCTTTCTGTCAATATTTCTGACAGTACAGACATATCCACCTTCACAAAGGTGTTTTCACTTACTTTGTCTGATTAGACCTCTCAGACCCTAGGACCATGTGTTTCATTTACATCTCCATCACTTTCTGACATTTTAACTTTAGCTGTACCACATTCTACACCATTGCTTTTCTTAATGTATGACTGCTGTAATCTCTGTAATTTACACATTCTCTCGAAAAATAGATGGTGATCTCAATGGCACCACCTAATAAAAATAAAGGATTTTTTTTAAGTAGAGGTCAAATCAAGAATAAGCATAAACAACTGTATAGGCTTGCAGGACCTTGAAATGGATGTGTGTTTAATTAAATTACTTCACAATGATTGACAATTGGCAGACTTACTGTAGCTCGCGGACAGGTCAGTCACTTTATGTGCTGTGTGCACTGTCTTACATACTGAGGGGCATTGGCAACTATGACACACACATACAAGTCTCATGTGAGGATGCACAGCAAAACACATGATGTACAGTGTGTACTGGTCTACATTTAGCCAAGGTGGACATATTGTGCAAGGGCTGAGCAAAAAAATCATCATAGACTGGGAAGATAGTTCAACTGATACACTTTTTATTTGCATGTTGCTCCTGTGTGAAATTCTTAATTTCACTCGAGATGTTAATAGGAAAATACATGCAGTTTTCTTTAAAAAAAAAAAAATTTTTACATACATATTAGTCATCCTTATTTTTTTTTGCAGATGACTTTGGACAGCGTGCCTTGGTGGGCAAGGTGTGTATGGACAGGAACAATTGTGTGAAACATTATAAAGAGACCACAGAGGACTCTCAAGAGGAAACCCGTCGGTAGGTATCAACTATTTAATACATTATACTGTGTAACAGATCTATTGTGCCGTGTGTACTGTTGGTTATAGTTATACAGTGTGTACAGGTGATATTGTGAAATTACCTTGAAATCAGCAGTATTTTAAACAGTGCCAGACAGGTGTACCTGCTTCATTCAACAGTATAATGCAGCAAGTTTTAGCTACTTAAGGGAGAACAAGCTAATCATTTACTGAGGAGAAATTCCAAGAAGAAACAACTTTAATAGTGTGTAGGACTTTAACTCATTATATCTGATATGATTTATGTTATAGATACACAGAGATCATTGCAATGTAAGAACCATAGTGAATTTGAAAGAGGAACACATAACTGTTGAGCAATCATGGTTTTAGATAAAGACTTAAGTGCTCAGACTTTGAGGATAAAGTCCTATTAGGTTCACCTTATTTACTTTTCAAAGAGGGGAAGCGTCAGGTGACTCAACTAGCAGTAAAGAACAGTCTTTTCAGGACAGGAGGGAATGACAAAGTCTTGCGTGACAGTGAGATTAGAATGAGCTAGAGCAACAAAAACAATGACACATGAAACAGAGTGAATGTGAATTGATGAATCACTCCAGAGTGTCTGCAGGTAGTTCTTGAATGTCTAGACATTTTAATTCCCTTCTTACATTTAAATATTTCCTTTGAAATACATATGTACATTACATCACAGAAAATGTGCCCCTGATTCTGAAGTAACATTTGTCTCGTGAACCCTTGTTTTTGTCAATAAAACTATCAACATGCCCCGAGTGAATTACATTCATTGTTTTGTTTGTTGCAAGGTTCATTGCAGAGCTCCTGAACAAGAAGGTGAGATTTTATAATGAAGCAAAAAGAACCATTCAAGGATGTGAGAAGAAATCATGTTAAGTCTGGTTTATTTTATTTTTTCCAAGACTTTTCAAACCTCTGTAACTGTCCTGTTGCCTCTGTTTTTTTGGGCAGTATCCTCTAGTGAAGCCAGTGGTGACTCCTCGTTTTGCTCTGTCCTGCACAGGAGCTTTACTAGAAGAGCTGGGAGCTATTGCTAAAAATAACAACCTGCACATTCAGGTGAGCATCTAAATCAGGTTATGTCCTCAGAGGACTGTGCTTAGATATGTATTGTGACCTGCAGGGTTTTTGAATGATGAAATAAATGCACATGCAACGTTCAAAGGCAGAATGCTGACATGAGAGAATGAAAAAGAAGTATTGCAGAAGGGCTTTTGTAATTATCTGTCCTGTAATTCCACTGCCACACATAAGATGCTACATCATTTGCTGTATCAAAAAGCTACAACTTTTGTCAAAAGTACTGTACCACCCCAGATTCTTGTAAACTACCAGTTTACTGTCAGACATGTTAATTTCCAGAGTCATATCAGCGAGAATACCAAGGAAGTGAGGCTTGTAAAGGAGATGTTTCCGGAATCTAAGTCTTATACAGATGTCTATCACAAATACAACCTGCTCACTGACAAGGTGAGTACACAAACATATTCCTCTCTACACACACATTTAGACGTTTTTGTACTAAGATATGGTATAACTTCTGAACATTGCTGATATTTATGATGGGGATGATTCACAGACAGTGATGGCTCATGGCTGCCACCTCAGTGATGAAGAGCTGGCTCTGTTCAGAAAGACAGGTGCCTCTTTGTCTCACTGTCCCAATTCTAACATCTCGTAAGTCTTTCACAATTTCTTTAGATTTTATAAGACCAAAGGCTTTGAACCAACTTTGATCGTTGAGGTTGCAGGAGCCTAAAATGTATTTGAATTTAAACCAGAAAAGACAGCAAAACACTTAAATAGTCCTGAATGTATCACCTAATACATAGTTATTTTTTTTACAGCTGTTTCAATGCCATCTCTCTCTTTCCATCTACCCAGGTTGTGCAGTGGAATGTTGAATGTCCGCAATGTTCTGAAACATAAAGTGAAGTTGGGGCTGGGAACAGGTGGGAGCAGAACAGTGGTGTGCACATGTTCAGTTCTAAGACCACTTTTGACAAACTCTGTTACACTGTAGAGAAATAGTAGAATTATGTTTGGTGATACCATTTTGTTTTGGAAAACTCATGACCTATGGGAGCTGGAGGCAGTGAGTGTACTAGGCTCTGTTGCAAACATATGGTGGGTAAGCATTGTTATACTGTATTTCATGTAATTTACAGCAATCCATCATTTCAGTGTTTTAGTGAGTGCAGTCA